CATTATATTTCTGGAACAAACTATTTTCAATGGAAAACATAGGGAATATAAAGTTGGGGTAAATAGTTGGCAACAAAATCCATGTATGTCAGACCTATCGAAATCAATTCCAGTTACACTCATGATTTTTACCAACTCCAACAGAACACAAAAACAGAGCCTTCATCAGCTAGCACATCTTGCTGACTGACTGAATCCATACGCTCATGCAGTTACTTTTACACACAAACTGTCTGCCCAAAAGAGCTGGAAGCATGATTATTTTAAGTAGTATATTACCAGTTTTCCATATTTTAATGACAATGTTTTTTTGACCAAAATCAGACGCAGGAACTGATGTCATGGTATCAATAATGATACCTTGTTGGATGACAACTATGAAACCTCATGGAATGGAATATAAACTATACAGTGCACTGACTGATGGGTTGAACTGCACTAGCATTGAAATGGAAGGAGATTTAATAGTTTTTCCCTTCATTGAATTGTTACTGTCCTTGTCAATTACTGGCAATCCTGTTATTGCATCAACTGTGAACACCCACAGTTTTCACACTTTCATGTGCTGCTGCCATCTGTCCAGAATTCACACTTTTTTGGTATACAGCAGTTACCTCAGAGATAGGATGGCTCATCATTCTCATTTCAACAGTCATTCTGCTTATGGTTAGTGTGCAGTGATTGCCACAGCTAGACTACCTGCTTATCTGCTACAACATGTCACCTACAAGAGTCTATTTCTACAAGCAGGTGAAAGTGAAAAATGCCATCTCTAATTTTTTGGCACCATGTACACACACACATTTAATTTCTAAATGCTGTCACCACAGTAGATTTAAGCTCACCTAGACTCCTATCGAACCAGCATGAACTATCATCAGTGGGCATTCACTTGGGAATTTCTGCTCCTCCCCAGCCCAGACTGAACTTGATTGAACTGTTATCCCTTAACTACTATCAATTATCTAATACACAGCACATCCAACTTCTTCTCTCTTCTTTATATACCCTTACCAATTTCCCATCTACTTCCTTTTACATAAATATCTCTCCTCCATTACTATTTATTCTTGGTGAATATCAATAATATCCCTGCATTACTCTTCATTTTCCCCCTTTCTTTCCTTTGTTTATCCTAATATTGTTTATAGACCTTTTCTTTTTCTTTACTCATTTTTAAGTTTCTCTACTGAATTATCCTTGATTATCCAGTACATATAAGCATTACATTTCCACTACAATGGTTTATGATATAATAATAAATAGTTAGATAATCTTTAGGTTAATTAAATATCATGGAATAACATTTATTTATGAAGTTTATATGAGTTCTCATTTAATTTGGATATATATGTGTATGTATGTATGTATGTGTATGTATGTATGTTTATATGTTTAGCTGTGTCTTTAAAACCCAGTAATTTTAAAAGTTACTCCAAAATTCGCTTGAGGATGAAATGGAACTAATGTCTTTAATTTAATTACAAAATTAAATTCGTAGCTTTTAGCTTCCATTTTTGAAACATGTGTAGTGAAAAAAAACATATTTTAAATAAATCAATTTATAATATTAATGCTCTGTAAATTTAAATTGAGTACTATTTTGTAAAAATAAAAATATCTATAATAATCTATTATATATCTTACTGTTCTTTCTTTTTATTTATATATACATGCATGTATGTTTATATGTATATGTAATTCTTATATCCTATATATATATTTATTATGAATCATTCAGTATATCCAATCTTAAGTAATCAGATTTTATTATTATCATAAGGCTTTCTAATATTTAATATATGGTGCATACATTAATATATGAATTTAATATGTAGTATTAAGGGGTAACCTTAGAATATATATCTAAGGGAAATAATTAATGGTTATACATTTGTACTTAACAATAATTTTTATTTCATTTTTAGCTTATAATTCTGTTTAATTTTGTTTGAGTTAAGGTTCATTTAAAATTTTTTAAGTTCTTTTTCTAATTTAACTTAACTCTTTTTATTACCTTTTGAAAATATTCTATCCTAACATAAGGTTATATGTATATATATGTTGGCTGTTCTATCTATGTATATGCATGTATTGTAGGTATCTATGTGTATGTACATATAGATGGCTGTACGAGTAGAGATGTTTTTAATGTGTGTGTACACGTGTGTATGCATGTATATTCAAATTTCCTCCAAATCTTTAAAGCACTTCCCATAATTTTTAGGTTCTGACATATGGATAAATCTAATACACCAATAATTCTGAATCTATCTTTCTTTCATCTCAATCTCTTAATATTTTAAAATTAGGTTTTTTCATTTTTTTCATTAATTTCTATGGTTTCCCGTTGAATCAAATTTAGCCATGGGACCATTAAGATGTAGGTCAGCTCATCAGGTTCCCCTTCTCTCTCCCTGCCCACTCCTACCTCCATAATATAATACCCCACATTATTTACTGTAACTATGCCATCTTCTGTCATTTCCTCCTCTCTGTCTACTCTCTCTTTCTTTTTCCAACTAACCAGCCCCTTTCTACAAACTGACACCATAAACAGTTTGAAAATCCTGCAAATTTTAAATTTAAAATTCACAGGCGAAAATGACCATTAACTAATCATATCTTAATTCCAATTGTATGAAATTATATATATATATATATATAATGATCTTTATAAGTTGCTATATTTATAGAAGACTACTCAACACCAGAGATAGAACATTTGTAGATATAGAAATCAAAACTAGTCTGATGATTACGTGAGGTGTGAAACTGACAGCATCTGTGCAGTGTTGATTTCTATGTATTACACATACACACACACACATATATTACATATGCACATAATTATTTAAAAATATTTATATTCAAGTAATAAACATTTGAAATAAATGATAAGCTCTTAAGCATAACTTCTATAATTTACATGCATTCATTACATTAAAGTAAAAAAGACAGAAACTATTTTAAATTGAAAATAATGAGTACCATGAAAATAATTATAATAGAAAAATTGATATATATATATATATATATATATATATATATATATATATATATATATATATATATAGGAGATATATAATATATAAGGAGATACTGTTAATATTTGATTTTGTAAAATAAGACAGGGAAATACTGCTGAAAATACTTACATGCTGATTGGAAACACCCAATGATTGATACAGTAACCTGTATTTTACAGTTTGGCCTCTCTGATGTAAAATGGATCTTGACGGTATCTGCAGTTGTACCAAATGGGATTATTACAATGTCATTTGGCCCATTGTTCTGAAAAAGAGAAATACAGCTTTTTAATTTTTTTGTTAAATATATATGCAATTATAGATTAATTTCACCATAAATTCAGATAATTTTATAAAAATATGTTTAAAAATAACTGAGTGTCAATTTTTGTAACTGACTCTTACAATAAAAATTATATATTTACATTGATGTGATATGATTTAAACAAAAGGTTGTCAAAATAATATTTTGTTTTAAAAATATTTTTGATATATTGATTTGTGTAGTAGCCTCTGTTTAATTTCTAGTCAATAAAACATCTTACTTAGGATCAACTACATTTTGTTATAATGAGCTTATGGTTGCAAGGAAAAGAACAAAGATTAAAATTTCAACAACATCAATGTCAAGTGTGAAGAATATAGACAGAATTGTGTGAAAGGTGGCAAACATTGTTAATATGTGGTTCTTTAGTTGGTAAGGAAAGTGATTAGGTGTAAGGGTGTTGTCGGTAAGGCAGTTGGTGTCAGCAGAAAGGCCTGGAGCAGATTAGTGAAGCCAAATGGAGTGTAGTTGACAAAGTTGACATACACTTTTCTTCAGGGTTGCAATCGGCACTAGTGAGATGTGTGGATAGCAAATCAGCAATCATTGATGAGGTTGAGGTGTTGAGCTGAACTGCCTGTAGTCGGCGAGGGGTGCTATTTTTATATCTGTGGTTTAACATGTGCAGACTTCCAAGCACATACTACTTTTTTCAGCAGCAAATGTTCATGATTAGCTATTGCACTTTAAATTTTAAGGGGATTTGTTTTATGGAGCAGATGTGATTCTCAGCACCCCTGTTAGGGTTCTGCTTTCTTTGTACTTACATTCAATCAACATGTATAGTGAAATGTATTTGTGAACCAGAAAGAGATCTTGGTTAAAGTAGTATTACAATCTGAATATTCTAATTGATTGATTGTGGCCTTTCAACCTCTTGTGGATCATTAATATTCTGAAGTTAATCATTTGTAAGTATGAAAAAGTCAAGCATACAATTCACCTCAATCAGCAATAGCATTAACTGAGTGTGTGTGAAAGTTTTTAATATTTTTCCTTTCACTTTCCTTTTCTTGAGATTGGGAATTATCATCATTCAGACTGGCAAGCTTATCATTGTTATGCTCACATTTCAACCATTGTACAATCCAGCATTCTTCATCAAAACATTGTGAACATAAGCAACATGAATATACTAATCTGAATAATAAAGCATTTAATAATAAAATGTTATGTTGTATCTATATCTGTGATAAAAAGATTATGTTTTGTTGAGAGAAGCATAGAGTCATGTTGATGTCAAAATGTTGGCTAATTAAATTCTGAATTATTATTTATAATGTTTTAGGGAATCCGGAAAGAATTATTTTGGCAGTTTGGTTTCCTTATTTTTATTGCTGAAAATATTTCAGGGTTCATTATTGTTATTATACAAAAGAGACTTTGGCTCATTTGTGTTTTCAAAGTGATAGTACTTACTTCAGATGCTGTAACTGATGAAAGATCTATCTATCTATCTATCTATCTATCTATCTATCTATCTATCTATCTATCTATATATATATATATATATATATATATAACAAAAGAAATAGTGAAAAAATTTATTTTATAAATAACCTTTAATCTTTCCACATTTCTTTCTTGACTTCCACTGAGAAGGACATCATATTTTCCTACACATTTGTTTGTTAGTAATCTCATACTGGCTCCGTAAATGAGAGCATCAGCCACAAAGAGGCTGACAGAAGTTTTCTTATCTCCAGCTTCAGGTGTCCATCCATTTCCACCTGGTCGGATATTAGCCCTGTGTTCTTCATTACTGGAAACATCAATATCCCAATTTCTTATCAATGAAGAATCAGCCAATCCATCCTGTTTCACACACAAAGATGCTGTAACAAAAGTGACAATTTTCTTATATTAGATGTGTGCAAACATTTTTTGATGTATTTCATTAAAATTATTAACAACTAGTACATATATTTATTATTTATCAAATTTTTTCCTTGTCTTTCTATGATTGCTATGCTAATGTTTTTGAATTTCAGCTTTATAAACTTTAGAACATTAAAGATTTTTTACTGTATAAAGTATGCTGTATTTATCAAAACAAATGATAATCTGGTGGCACCAAGTCTGGCGAATATTCTATCTGAGGAAGAATTTTACAAATCAATTTTATTATTGTTTTTAGCTTAACATTTATTAATATGTAGACAAAAATTAACATGGAGCCCCATGCAGTATGAATTTTTTGAATTCTGTAAATGGCTTTTTTTTTACTTGATGTATTCAAACTTTGAAAGTGATGATTGTAATACTTTTTGCTAAGAGTTTGACAAGGCTTCAGGAATTCATAATACAGTACACCTTTCATAGCTCACCAAACACAAAGCAATTACTTTTTCCTAAAATTTTAAAATTTTGCTGTTCATGCTGCAGACTTTCCTGGATCTACCCAGGATATTTTTACACTTCAGATTAATGCAGTGGACTTTCTTTTTATTTCCAGTGATAATTTTCCACAATTATTTTAATATCTGGTAAGAAATAAAATAATGATGGTGAGATACTATCCAATGCTTGGTTCAGACAATTCCTGCTGTTTGTATCTGTCTTACTTTGCAAAAACTCTAATAACTATTGATACAAAATATTTCAATCAATTTTGTCTGGAATCATCATCTGAAAGAGTATGTAAATCATCATTTCCAAATTCTTGTAGTCCACTATTGTATGGTTTGTTTTCAAATCAAATTACTGTTTCTTAAACTTCATAAAATCTCAATGAACAACTTTCAACTGAAATGTTTTCATAAATTAATTATCTCCTTTGCTTTTGCTTTCCCAACTTGAAATGGAACAACATATACTGTTGCATACACAATGCATTCCAACATTATGTGCAAGTTGCTTTTCATAAATTATCCTCAGTACTAGCATACACCATGGTGTGCAATGTTAAATGATTCTGCACAGTAATAAACAACTAGCAGCCATTTTGGTGCTATCACTTCTTTTCCAGCATTCCAAATTATATACAACATCAGCTGTAAAACATTTTTGTGCAACAATGAAAAGACAAAAATTGTAGAAATGCTTTATGATCAAAAAGCAACAGCATAAATTGATAAAATTCTTGCAAGAGATTCATCTTAAAACCAACTATACTTAGTTCATGGGTTGACAAATGTGAAGACTGGATGAATACTGGATGATCCTGATGGCTGATGAAACCTGAAAGCCTCTTTGACTGAGGCATCAACAAGAAAGTGGAGTATCTTTTAGACAAGGGTTATTGGCAATGACTTTGTTGGCCTCTGGAGAGTTGCTGATAGTATCAAAATGAATTCTCCTGTCTACATTGAATATAAGAATCAACCTTCAGCCATAGCTTGAAACAGACACTGAAATTCAAACAGAAAGTGGTATTAATGCACAACAATGCTTCAGCTATCACAACCACTGAATACTTAACTAAATTGGTGCTAAAAAAAAAATGACTGACTTTTGGAGTGCACAGAGTGTTTACTGGATCTTAAACTTATCAAAAATCTTTGAGGCATCATGAAGAGATGGCTTTATGAGAGTGGCAAACAATTTTTCTCCAAGTATGAACTTTGGGAAGCAATATCAACTGTTTATGAAATTGTTACACCTGAAGAAATTCTGAATTTATCATCTTCTGTGGAAACTAGGCTGCTTGAAGTCATCAAAAATGGAAACTATATCAGCAAATAATATTACTTTTATATTGTGTTATTTCACCTAGCTTATAATAATTTTTTTTAAACGTCAGTTCTTTGAATAAATCTTTGTTGTGTTTGGTCAGTGTCGTTCTTTAATTGTCCTGCTATCACAAAGTGATTTGTTTCACATTTAAATATAAATTGGAATAGTTAAAATAATATTTTGTATATTCCAGCATAAATAAAATTTTCTATTTTAATACAAGCATAAATTTTGTGATATTCCATATAACTACACAATCTATATGTAACTGACATTTAAAGACTCTCAGATCATTAGTTTCATAATTATTATCATTTTGCTTTGCATATAATGTTAGGACACAGTGTTTATCTTGTCTAATGCCATTTTTCCAGATAAATGAACACTGAATACAGAAGACTCAAAACTGATTTTCATCTGTATATTCAGTCTTTAGTTTTTAGAAAAGAGGGCACTGAAAAATTTTACTTAATGTAATGTTGGCAACAATAAAAAAAAATAAACTTTATATTTTCCTTTTACAAGAAAGAAAATATATTTTTTCTTTTAAAGCTAATACAGCATGTATTTTAGAATATTAAAAAACATACCTGTTTCTGTTGAAGGTTTTGGTGTTGGTGTTGCTGAAATATGTAAAAATATTAGTTTATTCATATTAAAATGAGATAATGATATATGTTTTTATATATCAGGAACAATATTTGGGAAAATGTATTAAAAAAGAAAAGTCCTTTAGGACTTCATCTAACAAATTTAGTTTGATGAATCCTAAAAGATGAAATGCATTATACAAAAACTATTTCCACTTTATCATTTATTTTTCCTCATTAAAATAAATAATTGCAAATTAATTTTTTAAACAAGTCTAATAATTCCCTTTTTTAAGTAAATAATTAATATGAATGAAAACCTAACAAATTAAGAAGTATAGAAGAGTAATCACTTAAAATTTCTGAACCATTCTCATTTTAAATAGCATGTTCTCGCAGAACAAAAAAAAAGAACATAATTCTCTATAGCACCCATTTCTTTAAACTGTGTATTGCTATGACTGTCCTTGGATATTAGAAAGGTTTCCCATCGTCTTCTTCATGGCTTTAAATTCAGAGTTATCCTTTTCCTAGTTTGGCTACCAACTAAGTCTTGAGAGAATGTTATGCATTGCTATTTAACCTATAGCTGAGGGAAAAAGTTCAAATTCATCTTTTTCAAGGGCTTTAGTGAGAAATAAACAGAAATTACCTCAGCTGGAATTTGAATGATGCTCATTGATTCCATTTTTTACATTGTTAACCATTAATCTACCAACATCACTTCCTTGATTAAAACTGAATGACAATTTTTCAATTTTTCATGTCATTCAAATACCATATGGTATATAAATGGTTCAATTTGAAAGAAGTCAAAATATATATATTAGATATAAATCAATATTGCTACTTTTAAACATCAAGTTTTTTATAAAGAGAATTGTATACATACGTTTTGGTGTTGGACTTGTGGCTAAAAACAGAAAAAATTAAAATCAAAAAAAGTAAATTTCACTTGCATTAAAAACAAGATGTTTCAAATTATTTTTTTTATTTTGTTTTTAAATTTCAAAATATTATCTAATTTTGGTATAAAAGTAATTATTAAAACCAATTTTCTAGATTTTTTAAGAAATTTTAAAAATTCCACATAATAAATTTATTTTTTGATTATTAAATATAGATTTCAAGTTGAACTTCATCATGAGAAATTTGCCCAAACACTAAAGAGACATACTTACATGCTGATTGGAAATAAAGATTTTATATTAACTTTCACAAATTGCTAGTTTCTTAAAATGCTATGAGAGGATTTTAAATACTTACATGCTGATTGGAAACATCCAATAATGGAAACCGTGACCTGCATTTTACAATTTGACTTCTCAGTAGTAAAGTGGATTTTCACTGTATCTGCCATTGTACCAAATGGAATTATTATAGTATCACTTGCTCCATTATTCTAAAGATACAATGAGATACAAATGTTATTATTAATACACATGCATTCAAAAAGATGATAGAATTATAAAAATGAAGTTTATTAAAATTCATAATGAATATTAGGATTCATTTTCATGTAATTTACCTTGAGTCTCTGTACATTTCCTTGTCCACCTCCACTGAGATAGACATCATATTTTTCAACACATTTAGATTTCAGAAGCCTCATGTTGGCCCCATAAATAAGAGCATCACCAACAAAGAGGCTAACTGTAGTTTTCTTATCTCCAGCTTCAGGTGTCCATCCTTTTGCACCTGGTCGAATATCAGCCTTATGTTCTTCATTACTGGAAACATCAATGTCCCAATTCCTTATCAATGAAGAATCAGCCAACCCATCCTGTTTCACACACAAAGAAGCTGCAAAAGAAAAAAAATTATTAGTTATTTAGATACAATAATATATTTTTCTTTTTATGATATAAGTAAATAATTGTTTTTGATCATTTAAAATTAAAATAGCCATTTTTAGATAATAAAATGCTCACCTGTTTCTGTTGAAGGTTTTGGGGTTGGAGTTGGTGTTGCTGAAATGTGCAAAATATTTTACTTAGATTAAATAACCATGAATATAGAAAAAAATTGTTGTAGGAAACAACTATTTGCATTATTTAAATAAATGTTAGATATGAATTGTTAATTACATTGTTCTAATAGATCGTAAATAATGATGAAGATTATATTTCAAAATCTGTGACACTTTGCCAGCTTCATACAAGGCAAATATCATTTCAAATTGAAACAATATATGATATTTAAAATATAAATCAATTTTATGATTTAACTTTTGACTGGCAATTATTTCTAAAAAGAGAATTGTATACATACTTGTTGCTTTTGGAGTGGTAGCTGAAAAAGAACATTTTTAAGAAATTATTAAAAAAAAAATAACAAAAATATGATATATAAAACACATCACTTTATATCTTATTTCAAATCTGATTGTTAATATTTTTTCTATAGCAGACAATTTATAAAAAAAAACTCAAGGAAACACTTTACATTAATGATGTATTCCTTTCATAGAATTATTATCTAAATATGAAATACTGATTTTAAGTGAAACTTCATAACTAATTTGTGAAAACACTAATCAGGATTTTAAATACTTACATGCTGATTGGAAACATCCAATAATGGAAACTGTGACCTGCATTTTACAATTTGACTTCTCAGTAGTAAAATGGATTTTCACTGTATCTGCCATTGTACCAAATGGAATTATTACAGTATCACTTGCTCCATTATTCTAAAGATACAATGAAATACAAATGTCATTATTAATACATATGCATTCAAAAAGATGATAGAATTATAAAAATGAAGTTTATGAAAATTCATAATGAATATAAGGATTCATTTTCATGTAATTTACCTTGAGTCTCTGTACATTTCCTTGTCCACCTCCACTGAGATAGACATCATATTTTCCAACACATTTAGATTTCTGAAGCTTCATGCTGGCTCCATAAATAAGAGCATCACCAACAAAGAGGATAACTGTAGTTTTCTTATCTCCAGCTTCAGGTGTCCATCCTTTTGCACCTGGTCGAATATCAGCCTTATGTTCTTCATTACTGGAAACATCAATGTCCCAATTCCTTATCAATGAAGAATCAGCCAACCCATCCTGTTTCACACACAAAGAAGCTGCAAAAGAAAAAAAATTATTAGTTATTTAGATACAATAATATATTTTTCTTTTTATGATATAAGTAAATAATTGTTTTTGATCATTTAAAATTAAAATAGCCATTTTTAGATAATAAAATGCTCACCTGTTTCTGTTGAAGGTTTTGGGGTTGGAGTTGGTGTTGCTGAAATGTGCAAAATATTTTACTTAGATTAAATAACCATGAATATAGAAAAAAATTGTTGTAGGAAACAACTATTTGCATTATTTAAATAAATGTTAGATATGAATTGTTAATTACATTGTTCTAATAGATCGTAAATAATGATGAAGATTATATTTCAAAATCTGTGACACTTTGCCAGCTTCATACAAGGCAAATATCATTTGAAATTGAAACAATATATGATATTTAAAATATAAATCAATTTTATGCTTTAACTTTTGACTGGCAATTATTTCTAAAAGGGAATTGTATACATACTTGTTGCTTTTGGAGTGGTAGCTGAAAAAGAACATTTTTAAGAAATTATTAAAAAAAAAAATAACAAAAATATGATATATAAAACACATCACTTTATATCTTATTTCAAATCTGATTGTTAATATTTTTTCTATAGCAGACAATTTATATAAAAAAAAACTCAAGGAAACACTTTATAATAATCACATATTCCTTTCATAGAATTATTATCTAATTATGAAATACTGATTTTAAGTGAAACTTCATAACTAATTTGTGAAAACACTAATCAGGATTTTAAATACTTACATGCTGATTGGAAACATCCAATAATGGAAACCGTGACCTGCATTTTACAATTTGACTTCTCAGTAGTAAAGTGGATTTTCACTGTATCTGCCATTGTACCAAATGGAATTATTACAGTATCACTTGCTCCATTATTCTAAAGATACAATGAAATACAAATGTTATTATTAATACATATGCATTCAAAAAGATGATAGAATTATAAAAATGAAGTTTATGAAAATTCATAATGAATATAAGGATTCATTTTCATGTAATTTACCTTGAGTCTCTGTACATTTCCTTGTCCACCGCCACTGAGATAGACATCATATTTTCCAACACATTTAGATTTCTGAAGCCTCATGTTGGCCCCATAAATGAGAGAATCACCAACAAAGACGCTAACTGTAGTTTTCGTATCTCCACCTTCAGGTGTCCATCCTCTTGCACCTGGTCGAATATCAGCCTTATGTTCTTCATTACTGGATACTTTAATATCCCAATTCCTTATCAATGAAGAATCAGCCAAACCATCCTGCTTAATGCACAAAGAAGCTGCAACAAAAAAAATGTATTTTTGAAAATTACATTTTCTTTATACAAAGTACAAATTATATTTATTTGATTTATTTAAATAAAAAAATCTTAGGGTCTTGCAAATAATTTTAGGTGTACCTGTTTCTGTTGAACGTTTAGGTGTTGGTGTTGCTGAAATGTAAAAAAATATATATATACAAATTTCTTTAATAAATAGCTTCTTAAAATCATGTTATCATGCATAATAAAATTTGTTTGTAGAGAAAAAATATCTAAGTAGCTAGCAAGCATTAAAACTTTACTTAAAAATATACAAAATCAGTCATTTGCAATGTTTCATTAAAACTCAATTTATGATAAAAATTCAGTTTGAAAATAATTTGTACATGTTTTTGCTTTGCCTATTTCATACAATGCAAATATCATTTCTGACATAAGCAAATGTATCTGAGATATTCTTCAACTTTTAAATGACAAGTATATATAAATATATATATATAAAAAAATATTTGTATACATACGTGTTGGTGTTGGACTTGTAGCTAAGAAATGAAAAAAATAAACTCAAGTTTTCCATGAGAAAAGAATAATATACGATATAATTGAATTTTCTAATTAATTTTTTTTGGAAAATATTTGTTACTATCAAAATAGAAGCAGAAAATTTATAAATTAAAATAAATTTTTTTAAAAATCTCACAAATATCTTTCATGAAATTATGTTTTTTGAGTGTAAAGGCAATGTTTTAATTTATATTTCCTAAATTTTTTATCTTAACCACCCTTCCCCACTAAAACAAAATTCTAAATACTTACATGCTGACTGGAAACATCCAATAATGGAAATGGTGACCTGCATTTTACAATTTGACTTCTCAGTAGCAAAATGGATTTTCACTGTATCTGCCATTGTACCAAATGGAATTATTACAATATCACTTGCTCCATTATTCTAAAGATTCAATGAAATACAAATGTTATTATTAATACACATGCATTCTAAAAGATGATAGAATTATAAAAATGAAGTTTATTAAAATTCATAATGAATATAAGGATTTATTTTCATGTAATTTACCTTGAGTCTCTGTACATTTCCTTGTCCACCTCCACTGAGAATGACATCATATTTTCCAACACATTTAGATTTCTGAAGCCTCATGTTAGCCCCATAAATAAGAGCATCACCAACAAAGAGGCTAACTGTAGTTTTCTTATCTCCAGCTTCAGGTGTCCATCCTTTTGCACCTGGTCGAATATCAGCCTTACGTTCTTCATTACTGGAAACATCAATGTCCCAGTTCCTTATCAATGAAGAATCAGCCAAGCCATCTTGTTTCACACACAAAGAAGCTGCAAAAGAAAAAAAATTATTAGTTATTTAGATACAATAATATATTTTCTTTTTTACAATATGAGTAAATAATTATTTTTAATCATTTAAAATTAAAATAGACATTTTTAGATAATAAAAGGCTTACCTGTTTCTGTTGAAGGTTTTGGGGTTGGAGTTGGTGTTGCTGAAATGTGTAAAATATTTTACTCAGAGTAAATAACCATGAATATAGAAAAAAATTGTTGTAGGAAACAACTATTTGCATTATTTAAATAAATGTTAGATATAAATTGTTAATTACATTGTTCTAATAGATCGTAAATGATGATGAAGATTATATTTCAAAATCTGTGACACTTTGCCAGCTTCATACAAGGCAAATATCATTTGAAATTGAAACAATATATGATATTTAAAATATAAATCAATTTTATGCTTTAACTTTTGACTGGCAATTATTTCTAAAAGGGAATTGTATACATACTTGTTGCTTTTGGAGTGGTAGCTGAAAAAGAACATTTTTAAGAAATTATTAAAAAAAAAAATAACAAAAATATGATATATAAAACACATCACTTTATATCTTATTTCAAATCTGATTGTTAA